ACTTAAAATGACCCACTACCGAGAGAATGGAATTAGGTCACCAAGTGCCAAACACTTAATTATTATCTTTGTCGTCCTAAGCATCCTACCAAATAATGATTTACCGACAGGGCAAAATCAATATTTGCATGGATCTTAGTATAATGTCATTAAGTGGAAGCATGAACAATATAACAATCCCGATAATTTACTATGACTAGTCCCGCGAGAGGTGGGTACACAGCCACTCCAAACCATCGGTACACAACAAAATGATATTATTCACATGGACAAAATATCTATTCTTCTTAAAATAAATTATCCATTTCCCTTTTCTCCAATTAACAAATATGGAGTAATATCACAAAAATTCATAATCAAATAAAATGAAAACAATTTTGCGATATAAGATATAAACTGACCATTAACCAACACCATAAAATGCAATACAATAATTGTTTAGAATATCAAAGAACCCATCTAACAATGATTCAAAATTGAATGGTTAGGGAACTCATGTAAAAAACCAACTTGGTCTTCCTTTTTGCTTTTCCTTTACTCAATTTCTGAAAATCCACATCAGTGACAATGGTATGTAAATAGATTACACCATTCTTCTCCCCACTTACAGAGAGTTTTTATGGTACATTGTTTCGTCATATTTACATGTTCGAAGCAGAAGATAAGAAAGAAAGCAAAACTGAATTCACATCAACAATTTAATCAGAGGAAAACTTTAGCCCATTCCAATTCTCAAAAGGAGTCACATTTGGCTGGACATTGTCTTAATAGTCGTATTTAGATCACTAAGTTCACATGCACATACAAATGCAGCAGTAAAGTTATGTTTCAAGTGCATCAGCAAACTGGTACCATATTAAGATTTCTTATATCTTTGAGATTTAATAAAGGGGGAGACTATAAGTAATCCTAGCTTATTGTACTTTCCTTATTGACTCCTCAATTAACTCAAAGATTACATAGAATCTTTCTTTGACTATTTTTAATAGATAATTACCTTTACTTTTGTCCTGGAACCTCCAGGTAAGAGGGTCCAACTCATGCTTCCAACACCAATGAGTATCACGCGAAAAATTTACTAATAGAAAGACAACATGCTGTTGGGGATCACTTTAATGTACTTGATACACAACATCAGAAGCAATAGGTCCAAGAAAATTTGTCCCAGACAGGGTCAATACTTCACAATTAAAAATTGACCACGACCATAAAAATGAGAAGGTAGCTCTGATGCCAATTGTTGGAAAATCAATAGATGTAATATATACTTCTTATAAATCATAGCATGTGTCCAATAATAATAAAGAGAAATCATACATTCAATAGTTTGTAATTTCCCATAGATTCTTTTGGGCTCCAATAGATTGACCATCCATAAGGCTGCAAAGATGAAGAAACTATACTATGGAGAGAAATACTCTCAATCCCCTTCCTGAACCCTTGAAACCGAGAACTCTCCAGAAGATGAGAGGAAAAGGGTGTATGTCTCTCTATATAGAATTCAATGGGCCAATTCTATATTAAGTGGAGGTGATAGTAGGGCTTCCATATGTGTGTAGTAAAAATGGCCCATCCCATTATGGGGCTCATTCACCAAAATGTAAATGCTAGTCCATATAGTAGAAAAACAATCCAACATTTTCCACCCCTAATAAGATGTGAAAGATGGCGAAGATAAGAAATTACATTCAGCTATGGGTTCAATATGCCTTTCATTAGTCCTTCAATACATATTTTTCACAATTACACTGCAGGATATTTACAATGTTAGATAAAAACTAAAAAACTTACACATCATTAATTACGGTATTTATTTTTTATCAAAGACTTCTTACACATGCACAATTTCTAAAAATAGACAATCGCGAAGCTTAAACTCAGGTTTTGTAAAAACTTTGCCCAAGGCATGAAAAAAAATTTCGAAGAATTAATTTCTGACACCTGATACAAGTTGCCTATTCTGCCGAACCACCTCACAGAAAAACTTGTGCAACTAAAGAAAAATAAATTAACTTATTTAAAATTATATTTTCGACGTACAAAATAGTTTAAGTTCATTACAAGCCCACAAATTTTCACAATTAACCCCACCAGTTTTCAAATGAGGGAACTATGGGCATGTTTGGCTAGAGAATTGAAAAAAAGAAAAGAAAAAAGAAATTAACATCTATTATTTTGTTGTCTCCAATCTATCCATAAATACATAATACACAAATTTATAAGGAAAACGGGTGAGAATAATTCAAAAAATAATCAGCCAACTCGTCACTAGTCATGAAACAAAGATATTATTAATTTTGAACAAGCAAAAAAAATGTGTGCATAGACTTTATCTCATATAGGATTCAGAATGAACAACATTAGTATCACTTCTCTCTCTAAATTCTTCCAAATACCTTAATAGAAAAGGTGCGTCAAGAAACAGACGGACAGATTAAGAATCAGCAGCAGCCGGACTCTCTGCGCTCGGTTTACCATTCGTGCTCTTCATAATATCAGGAAGATTATTGAATTCTAAGCCGTAAATGTGGCCCATTTTGGCACGTTTTGTCTCGAGATATCTCTTGTTATCCTTTGTGATAGGCGTCACAAGGGGAACCCTTCCTGCAACAGTCAAACCATAACCCTTGAGTCCACTGTACTTTGCAGGATTGTTTGTCATCAGCTTCATAGTTCTAACCCCGATATCTCTTAGTATCTGCACATGATTTCGCAAGTTCTGGGTTAGATATTCAACTTGTACATTTGATATTTTTACACAGTGAAGTAAATGTAAAAATGGCTGGGGATCAAAACACTGACAACGCAACAGGGACAACAAGGCAGGAAGGACAAAAATCAACTATTCCGAAGTTCTTGAACCAAATATGTTCTCAAGTGACAAGCCAAGTTAATAAACACAAACAAGATTCAATCAATCTCTATCTTGTGTGCGTGCACACATGAATGTAAGTGTTTGTCAGGGGAGGGGATAGCAATTCTCATTGTTATCAAAGCATTAAACAAGTCGGTCCATGCATGTTCAAAAGTAAACATGTTAAATAGAAACATGGAATTTATGGCAATTATATACTATGTACTACATCTTTGACTCGCTAGTACCTGTGCGCCAATCCCATATTCTCTTGAATCAATGGGCAATCCCAGCTCCTCGTTTGCTTCAACCGTGTCACGTCCAGCATCTTGCAGTTTGTATGCACGAAGCTTGTGACCCAATCCAATTCCCCTTCCCTCATGACCACGGAGGTAAACCAAGACACCCCGGCCAGCAGCCTCAATCTGCTGCATTGCAAGTGCCAGCTGTTTCCCACAATCACATCTGGCCGAACCAAATATATCTCCTGTGAGACATTCTGAGTGTACTCTGACAAGGATATCAAGTCCATCTCCAATATCACCCTGTTTACATCATGATTTGATCAAAATAAATTTTACCCCCAGTTGAAAGATGTCACTCGACTTTTGTATGTTGTGATAAAAGGTATGGTGTGGTCATATTTGGACGAACCTCAATCCCAATCACAAAAGCACTAATGATGGAAACTCATACACAGAAACACAATAATTTATATTGGTTCACCCACATTGTAAGAGTTACTCCACCTGCCACTGCAGATTTTTCACTACAATCAGGAACAACAAATATTATGGGGAAGAGATTTTACACCTCGCTGTTTTCTCATACAGAAAATGGACCCCCCAGTTTCTATTTATAACGTGCGAAACTAGTGTGACTAATACAATGCCCAATACAACCCATCAACCTTAACACGGAGGTTGATTGCGGCCAAGGAAATTGGTGTACAAAAAAATAAGGCCCCAAGTATTCCAAGAGTTAATTTACAATTGGAAAACAATTTCCTCGGACACCAGAAGAACTGATGCAGGTATGCCAATGCATTTATCCTTTATTTCCTTTATCCTTTATTTTCAGTAAACTGTACCTAATTGAAGGTTGAAAATTATAATAAATTGTGTAACAGCTCCAGATCCATAATTGGAGCAATGTTGGCTTCTTGAGACGAGGCATTTTCTAGAAGGAAGGGTCTCTTCACAAAGTTGTTGTGGTGGGGGTTTTGGGGAGGGGTGTTGATTCTTGCAATATGTATTCATGACTCAGAATTGATAAGTTGGATTATTATTACACATAATTATATCGGATGAGACTATATTTGGTGAAATTTCCACCATCCTAAGACAACAACGAGGATGAACAACCATAAGAACAAAATAAGAAACTGCTGACGGCGGCTTTCTCAAATCCATGTGACTAGATAAAGTAAATAGAATTTTTTGTAATAGAAGCTATTTTTAGCCTACCTTAACCATCGCAATATGCTCGATTCCATCTAAAATTGACCTGTAACAGTATGAAGTAAATGGGCCCCACATAGTAGGTATCTGAGCAGCAGATGCACGTTCCACTAACCTATCTCGTTTCCTCCTGTATCTGCAAATCATAGACAGTGTTAGGCCTTCTCTTACAAGCTACTAAATAGAAAACGATTCTGAGAAAAACTTGACTTATGCATGGAAATAAAAGAAAAGGAACATCAAAAGGGGCAAGTCTAGCCCAATAAATAAAGTAATATCAATCAAGATTGTCACTCGTGCTGATAATTTTTACACAGTAAATCACATCAACAATTAAAGCTAAAACAAAACTAAGAGTGCACATAGCCTATATGAGATAAGTATACAAGTGAATAAGATCTGAATGCAAATTAATACCATAAACTAGCATAATAAACCAAAATTTTACAATCAGAATTCAAATGTACAACCAATTGTTAAAGACCAACATCACAACACATAATAACTGCCAATAAACATGTTGGTTAAATGAGATTTGGAGAAGGAACCTGTTAACCTACCTGATTAAGTCGGCAATGGATATGATCTTTAAGTTTTCTTGCTGCACAAATTGTCGAAGCTTAGGTAATCTAGCCATTGAACCGTCATCATCAACAATCTCACATAAAACCCCAACAGGGTCTAACCCAGCTAGCATGGCCAGATCCACGGCAGCTTCTGTGTGCCCAGCTCTTTTTAAAACACCACCCTCTCTGTACTTCAAAGGGAAAATGTGACCTGGGCGGTTGAAATCCTCTGGCTTTGAGTCTTTTGATGCAAGTGCCAATATTGTTGTCGCTCTGTCACGTGCTGAGACTCCCGTAGTTGTACCATGCTTAGCATCCTAAAACAATTTTACGCTTACATAAATATAACACGTTATCAGCATTTTTACTGCATAATTGATTTTGCTTCCATAGAGATGTCTTTTTTAATATAGCTCATCAATTTTTTAGCAAAATGACTAACTAGAGGGCATTTATGTGTTTGTGTTTGTGCGCTAGAGCGGATTTGAGTAGATAAACTTCAAAAATCAATACTTGAATCCACACTTCTTATATGTGTAGTACATGGTAATATATGAATTAAACACAAATTTCAATGCCATAAGCAATAATGAACGAGACAAAACAAAAATGAACACAGAAAAACAGAGATTTACAAAACTTCAATGTGAGAGCTATATTCACTTACCGCTGTAGATTTATAGTGAAGTCGAGAAACAACAGGATTTCAAGCCTCTCTCACTCTATGTATCTCTACGTTAAAAAACGGCTCCCCTTAATAATTAATATTCTTCTCCACTCAGTCCAACAAAATAGCTGTGATCTAATACTTTTATCATATAATATGATATTTATGGTGAAAACCTAATTCAGAGATATACTAGAAAGACAACCAGGAAAAGGAAAAAAGAAAACAACAAGTTTAGGCTTCGATAGTTCATCTTAAAAGGAAAATTACAACATACCACAGAAATGGTGAATGCAGTAGAAAGTTTTTCCTCGTTCTCCTTTTGAGTGACCATCAAGGGAAGCTGCAACCTCTCCAAGTCTTCTTCTTTCATACTGGCACAAACAATTCCAGTCCCATGTTTCACAATGAAAGCCATAGCCTCCGGAGTAACTTTTGACGCAGCCAATATCAGATCCCCTTCGTTTTCTCTATCCTCATCATCTACCACGACAACCATCTGCAATCTTAAACCAAATCATTAAATAAAAGTAAAAAAGTGATGGCTTAATAATTATTTTAGCATTCACCAAACTGAAAGTATCAATGGAGAAAACCAACTTTTCCTTTGCGAATATCTTCAATGGCCTCTGGAATAGACGAGAAACCTTCTGACGGCTGGTCCAAATCAAATTCGTCATTTTCTGTGGGGAAGCCACTAGTAGTTGGAGTCATATCCGCTGCAAGGGCTCCAAAAGTTACCGAATCGGGTTGTATCTTGACTCCACCAGACATATCACTGATAATATCATTACTTGCAACATTAGTGCCACTAGAATTGGAGAGAAGGCCACCTTCCCCTGATGACAACGCGGAACTAATTCTTCCATTAGCCTTGATGCTGAAGCCTGCCCACATAATCGGCAAATCAAAGGACTCTAATGGCCAACCATTAATAGAATATAGATTTCCATAATGCAGTCCATTGAATAGTCTAACCTTTTTAGAAGCCCTGCATAAACACAAGGTTAATTACAATTCATGGACGTCAGCATATACCTCAGAATCGAACCTCTGTGAACAGCATTGTTTGTGAAGTACTGAAACCCAACTCTCTTATGTAATCCAAGAACACAAAAACTAACGATGTCAATGACGTGCAATAATAAGAGTTATATCTAGGCCCGTAAATATGGACATTTACGAGTTATTATGATTAATTATGGCATAATCTCTTGTACATTTCGTTTATTAGGTAAAACTCAATGATTGGAAGTGAAATTGTATGAAATGAGCGAACAAGGGGCTAAAATGAAGTTTTCAAAGTTCGGAGACTAAATTACAAAGATCCAAAAGTTAATTCGGACCACAAAACGTTGATTGAAGATTACACGAAATCAATTAGATAAAAGTTGAAGCTAAAGGATGGAAATTGAACGAGAAAATGACTTTTAAGGGAATAAAGGATCAAATTCAGGGACTAAAGTTTACAATGTTTAAAAAATCTAGGCGGCACGTGAGGAGCCTTTATCTAAAACCCATGAGCAGAATCTCCCTTAGACGCGGACGTGGTGAGCCATTCATCGTGCGCGCATGGTTCAATTGAATTCTAATGGCCCAGTTTCCTTTTATGATCAAAACTCTGTTTAAAACCTCAATTGGACGCAGAGTTCGACCTAATTTCGAGCCTTATACAACTCGAAACACCTCCCATACTATAGAATTCATCAAATCTTACAACAAAAAGAGGGGCAATCCAATTATTCTTTTGGGAGAATTACGAAACAATTGCAAGATTTCAAGCAATTGATAATCAAACGTTAATTTTTAGGCAAATAAGAGAAGGGGCAACTAGAGATTAATCAAGAAACCATCGAAGAGATTCGAGATTTATCTTCTTCATTTATCAATAATCCGGATGATGTTCTATAAAGTAAACATGATTTTTTGTAATGTTATAATGCTAGGCTAAGTTTTTATTTACTAAGATGGAGATGAACCCTTATTATGATGTTTTAATATGAATTCAATATTTTAACGTCCAATATGCATGGTTTCTTAGATGACTGTTATTGTGCTTAATGCCTTTCAATTACTTGATCACTAATTAAATTGATGTGTGATTTTTATTGTTATCGAAAGTGACAATAGGATAGATGAACTTATAACAATTGTTGTGAGGTACGATAAAGATAGAAATATACCTCTATGATTTGCATCGATGCTCTAGCGTTTTAATGCATTCTTTCATATTCAAGTTTTTTATAGAGAAGATATGGAGAGATCATATGAGAGGATAGATTTAATTCTATTCGAGAAAGATTATTAAATAATATAGGAACATTGATCAACAAAAATGCATACATATTGCCATGATCTGTGATGCTCCGACTTTTCCTTTAGACAGGTATACCTGTGTTGACACAACATGACACGGGTACGAGTATAAAATATGGGGCAGACACGACAATTTTCAACCGGATATGGCTAGGGCAGAACCTGTTGGTTCTTTTTTGCCGCCATTGTTGCAGTCCATGAAGTCACAAAGTCACGATTGGTACAAGGTTAGGGAAGAAGAAAGAGTGTTGGTCTTGTGCCTTTTTTTGTTTTAAATTTTGGGCCGTTTCGGCTTTTTTTTTAAAAAAAAATTCATCCACTGTCGTTGAAGTTTATTTAGAGCTTGATTGATTGAGCAAATTACATGAGATTTATTATTTCTTAAAATATGCATTTTGGTTCTTTTGATCTAGATAAGACCATTTTAGATTAATAAAATACCACGGTAAATATTGTTATAATTTTTTTAAGAAAAATTTAAATTTGATTTTTTTTTTTTTTTTTGGCGCCAAAATGATAGGCAGATAATTATGAAATCAACATAAATAAATGTTTTAAGACTATTTAATAGCATTTTTTAGAATTAATATTTTTTCAAAGCTTGACAAAATAGAAGTAATCAAATAATAGTTGATTAATCAAAAGAAAAGACTAGTCAATGATCTATTCATCATCTATCCAGAACTCAATTAACTTTTTGTATACCTACAATAATAGTTGATCTTATACTATTTTCATATTAAATATTTTTTCAAAGCTTGACAAAATAGAAGTAATCAAATAATAATTTTTATTAATTATGGTTTCTTCATTTTTTAAAAAGTCTATACGAAAAGCTAAAAAAACGATTTTTTAATAAATTGTAAACAATTTATTTTTTTCTAAATTAAAATTTAGAAAAAAAAATTAGATAACAAATATAATCGTATAGCATAGTGAGAGGCACGATGTGGAATTTATGTTAAGGGGGAGGTTTCTGAAATTTTGTACACGGAGAGAGTGTCGCTAAAATTGTCATAAATCTTCAAGGGAGGATTTTGTAATTTGCTCAAAAATAATTAAGAATTAACGATCTCAAACTTTTTTTAGATTGTGAAAACATTAACAAACTTGATCTATCTACAATCTTGGTTGATCTTGTATGATTTGAAATGCGATCGCAGATTATCCCAATTGAACTCAATTAGTCTCCAATCGAAAATTCAACATATATCTAGAACTCAATTGACTTGTCATATGTCTACATTAATAGTTGGTCATATACTATTTTAAGATTCGAACACACTATATCACGATTGAACTCAACTAGTCTCCAAATGAAAACAGTGGTCACTGATTGACTTATCATAAGTGTCATGTAGATACAGTAATAGTCGATCACACTATCACGTTATGTGCACGTCACGTTATTAAAGAAATGATAAAATTGTCTTAAGGTATGACTTTTTACTACTATATTATAATTAATATAATATGTATTTCGTTTATCTAATTTATATAAGAGAAACGAATATTTCCTATATTAGTGATTTAGCATTGAAATCTTCTCTCCCATAAATATCACGCGTTTTCTCTTAGCAAATGGAGACCAAAAACAATAAAAAGAGGTTCTTGTACCTTAATTAACATAAATTATCCCCAAATGGATGCTCTACAAATAGAAATTCAAATCTTCCTTATTCTTCCATCATTTCATTGGAAGAAGAAACAATCTAACTCATTGGAAAAAATTCTAATTTTAATCCCTAATGTATAAATACCAATTTTAATTTAACCATCATCTCATTGGACAATATAACCCATGCCTCCACATTAATTGATGTTATTGGAAGAAGAAACTAGGGTTGTCCGTGGGTCCGTTCGGTTCGTTTCTTTTCAAAACCGAAGCGACTTAAAACTTTCGGGTATTTAATAAATGAAACCGTCAGGTCCCAATATAATTATGGAACCATTCGGATTCGATTCGGTTCCGTATCATAATTAAATTTTTTAATATTTACAGCAACACTACATAAATACAACTAATGACATTTCATTCGTAACTTCATCAAATTAACGTAGCCCAATTCAAAAAATATAAATAACTAGCCGTCCAATAAAATTAATTCAATGCTTACAAATACTAAAAAGAAGATATTAATATTACAGCAACACTACATAAAGTATATTCATTTGCTTCAAATGAAAATGGGCTAATGGGTTTTAAAAATGATTTGGGCTTTAAAATTAAAATTATGAAATAATCTGATTTATTTAATTAATTTGATAANCTTACCGACTATTTGATTTAATCATTTGAAGGTTTTAAATTTAATGAGCAAATTCGTATAGTCAAGAGCAAATTAAAATAAGTTAATGAGTTTTAAAAATGATTTGAGCTTTAAAATTAAAATTATGAAATGATCGGATCTGATTTATTTAATTAATTTGCTAATTCGTTTAGAAAAAAATAATTTAATTAATTCAATATAAAAAATATAAAAAATTATTTAGTTTCGGTTCTTTAGTTCTTAGTCTAGACCCGATGTCCGACCCAAACCCATCGTTTCTCGATTCGAGTACCCGTTCGGATATTTAACTTATGAAGAACCGCTCGGTTCGATTCGATTCGGGACTTTTGGACACCCCTAGAAAAACAATCTAACATTTCATTGGATCATCATCTTATTGGAAGAAGAAACAATCTAACTCTATTTCCTTCTTCAAGCAAGTAATCAATGGTTCCACCGTTCTTTGTTTTCTTCCATTAAACCATTTTAGCCTTGTCAGTAATTGGGTAGGTTAAGAAGCCAAGAGAATCTAGAAACACAAAAAACACTTATAAGACCATCTATTCGTGGACAGAGTTTTGATGATAAGCCACTATAGAATCATGTCGAGGTTCTGGGTATGGCAGTAGGTGGAGGAGGAAATTGCACCTGTAATTGCAACTACTACAGCAAGAAAGTGACCGGATCCTATTCTAAAGTGAAAGCTCATTTGCTAAAACTTTCCAATCATGGGGTTCAACCTTGTAAGGTTGTGACTAACGACATACTGCGAGAGATCACGAGGGAACATGAGCAAGCTGAATGGAAAAAATCACAACATGAATACAATGAAAGGAAAAAGGCTGAATATATTTCACTACCCGACAATTCAGATTTGTTACAAAAGAAACAAAAAAAAGGCGGAGATGGACCTTTAGAAAAGTCATTCGACATGACACAAAGGGATGTAGCTGATAGCGAGGATACCTGTTTGTTTTATACAACTGCTTTATCATTCAACTTCAAAATTTCCCTACTCCATACGGTACTCAAGAACCTTAGCCAATAGCAACATGGCAGGTTACACTCCTCCTTCATATAACAGACTGCATACTACATTGCTTGCCCAAGAAAATGAGCATATTAATAGAAAACTTCAACCCATAAGAGACTCGTGGAGGAAAAGAAAATTATTGATCTTTTTTTATGGATGGTCAGATAGGCAAAAGAGCCCTCTTATAAATATTATGGCTGCTTCAATTGGAGGAACAATGTTTATTCAGTCAATTGATGCAACTGGAAATATAAAAGATGGTGATTATGTTGCAACATTGTTTCTAAATGCAATCAAGGAAACTGGAGAAGAAAATGTTCAAATTGTCACAAACAATGCAGGCAACTGAAAAGCTGCTGGGTTAAGCATCAAATCTAGGTATCCACATATCTTTTGGACTCCTTGTGTGGTGAATATTTTGAATTTCACTTTAAAAAGTATTTGTGATCTTTCTGAAGAATCACCTCAATATGCAAATTATATGTGGATTGCTTATTTGGTGGGTGACGTACAAATTGTTCGTTATTTATTGTCAATCATGCGGGGAACTAGCAATACACAATAAATACTCTTAAGTTTGTTAAGGATGGCTGACACGAGATTTGTATAAAGTATTGTAATGACTAAACGCTTGATAGACGTTAGGCCGGTACTAGAAAAAATGGTGATGGATTCAGCCGAAAAGTTTATAGGGATGCAAACATTGATGGTAAAGCACAAGTGAAAAAATGCATTGTGCTCGATACTTGGTGGGATGATTTGGATTATTTTCTGTCTTTTACTGAGCCTATTCTTAATATGTTACGAGTTACCAATACGAATTCTCCTGTTTTGCATTCAATATATGATATGTGGGACACGATGATTGAGGAAAAAAAAACATATTTCAGCATGAAGGGATAGATACAGTTGTTGGTAATTCAACCTTTTTTGATGCCATTCACCAAATTTTGGAGAGTAAATGGAACAAGAGCAACACTCCCTCACATTGTATGGCACAATCTTTAGTTCCTAAATATTATTGTGAAGCTTTGTTGAAAGATGAAACTAATGGAATGCCAAGAATTACACCACACGAGGATCAAGAAGCTTCCATGAACAGAAGCAAATGCTTCAAGAGGTTTCCAAATTCATATGATTTGAAGAATGCATATGTTGAATATGGAGCATTTTGTAGTGGATCAAATTATTTCAATCAGACGCATGTAATCGAGGCAAGAATGTTTGAAGAACCAATTTCATGGTGGGCTAATCATGGTGCCTTTACACCTCTTTGAAAATCTTTGGCCTTTAAATTGCTTTCACAACTAGCATCTTCATCTTGTTGCGAGAGAAATTGGAATACCTATTCATTCATTCAAAGTATTAAGAGAAACAAATTAACAACAAATAGGGCAGAAGACCTTGTCTTTGTCCATTGCAATCTTCGTCTAATGTCACGAAATGAAGAGGCGTACAAAGAAGGTTCGACAAAATATTAGGATCTATGTATGTTTACCAAAAGCTTAACGAATTTATTCTTCTTTAAAGAAATGTTTTGGATTAGTTGTTTGCATTAACTGTTTATGCTTTTCTCATTTTGTAGGTAGTAATAACACTAATTTGTGTAGGCAAACAACCATTCGACTAGCAGAACTTCCCCTTGATGAGCCACAACTAGAGACATTTATTCTTGATGATTATGAGTAGAGTTGGAGGGGAATTGGTTGATTAAATGAATTTTTAGGACGAATTGTTGCTACTGTAATTAATTATGTCATTTCTAACTTTTTTTAAAATTTTTTGCTTTGTCGTGTCAATTTATGTTTTTAGGTGTTTTAGACTTTTAACCCTTGTTTATCTCCATTATTCTCAAAATACATTCTCTCTCTTATTTTCAATCACATTTTTCAATAAAATAATATTACATGCAAACATAAAACCTCTCATTATTTTTTAACCACACGTTTCCCATCAAATCACCAAAATGCATTTTTGTCATAAAAAAAAGGGCTCAAACAGGCCCATAGTATAGGCCTCTGTTTGAGCCACATTATAATTTTCATTCGCATTCTTCTACTAATTTTCAACCAAACATTTTTAATAAAATATTTTTCATCACATCAATAATTTTTCCTTCTTTTTCAACCTCATATTCAACATCACATCACCCAAAAAAATACATTCTTTCCATTTTAATGTGCATCAAACAGGGCCTAAATTTCTAATTAGTTTTAAGTGACATGTTTATCTTTTAACAATTTGCAACTTAATTATTATTTAATTTTTTAAATTTTTTCAAAGACGTACCCGCATACCCGTGTCCGAAATTTGAATTATTTTTAACCATATACACATATTCTACATTTTAGAAAATAAAATATTCGCCGAGTCCTAGCATCATAGGCCATGATACTGAATTGTATTAAAATGAAGTAATAAGGGGGATTTGAAGTCTTAGTAATCATCTCACCTAACTTTATAGAAAGCTCTCATAATTTACTCATTAAATAGTTAGTTTAACTACTAAGTAATTAGTATAAATTCTTCATAGAATCTTGATTATTCGATTAGAGTTAGGATTCATTGATCCTAGATTGTACATAGTTCTCGTGGGAACTATATTTTACTTATCATTATATTACTTATTCACGATACCGTGTACTTGCTGGAATTCGTACTATTATAGATATTAGAATTTTAAGTTCTCAAAATAGCATTACCTATTAATAAAAATTGAGATAATGTTTTCTCAAAACTTAATGAGTTGAGACGAATGAGTTTCCTATAACCATTCAAACCCTAGTGGACACAATTCAATCATAAGAGAAGCTTAAAAAATACATCGTATTTTTCTTACCAAGTGTTTAAGCTTTAGAGTTTTGCCAGAAACAATTTTTCTTCTACCACAAATCGATATATCCCATTGTCAATTCACATAAAAATCAAACATATCCCATCAATACGATCAATTTACAAATACTCAATTACTGAAAGCAAAAACCTTTTTAAATTTAAAGAAAAAACATTTATTCAAAATCACATATTTGCGTTTAATTCAGCAGACATGATAAAATAATACATTTTACAACCAAAAAACATAAAATAAGAAGAAAGATTGCACTACGAAGAGAGAAAGAGAGCTTACTGGGAGCGAGAAAGGAGAGTCGTAGGGCAAGAAAAGTTGATGGAAGCCATTTCTATCACTTGAAGGCAAAAGGGCCGTCAATCGTGAAAAATTATGAACACAATTTTTTTTGTTCAGAAGATTTGGGCTTGGGATTCTACTCAGAAAGAGAATGGGATAAGAATTTTTCCGAAGGTTGAAGAAACTACTAGGCGAAAAAGGTGAGAATAGTGGACAAAGGCCGTTTGACCC